CCCGGCGGACCAAAGCCCCCGCGCGCCCAGGCGAGGTGAGGTCCCGCGCCCCCGCCCAGCCATCGAAGACTGACCCTTTCCCCGGTGCCCATTCCCTGCCCCCCACTCCCTCACGCCCCAGGTGAGCCCCGGGGTCCCAGGTAAGGCTCCGCGTTGCAGGTAAGATCCCGCGGCGTCCCTAAGGCCTCTGCACCCCCAGGTAAGAGCGCCTCCCCTTTGAGATGCCCCTTCACCTGCCCGGAGGCCTCCTGTCCCCTCTTGCTAAGGGCCCCTCGCTCCAAGTGAACTCCTTGTATCTAAGCTAAGGGCTCCCCCCGCAGTCCAGATGAGGTCCCAAAGACCACGGACCTCTTCCCTGCCGCCCCTCGAAAGCCCCTCCAGCTCCAGCTGCCAGGCTAGGGTGGTGAGGCGGGAAGTAGGTGGGTGATTCACCTTGGGCTCCTCCTAGCCTCAGTTTCCATGTTGATGCAACCTGAGGCCTCCTCAGTGAGTCAAAACTGAGACGACTCTGGCCCCTGGGGAGGCTGCTGGCTCCAGGTACAAAAAAGACCGCAGCCAAGTGTGACAGAGAAAGTCCCCGTGGCCCTGGGCATGCCTGCATGTATGTGGCCAAGGGCCTGACAGCCCACTGCCTCCCTCCCTGGCAGGCACTGGGCTCCCTCTGCTCCCCGTGGGCCGCTCCCCGCGTGGGGCCATTGCCCCCGGCCCCCGCCATGGTGCGGATTTCAAAACCCAAGACGTTTCAGGCCTATTTGGATGATTGTCACCGGAGGTATAGCTGTGCCCACTGCCGAGCACACCTTGCCAACCACGACGACCTCATCTCCAAGGTAACCGGGCCACAGGTGGGACTGCAGTGGGAGGCAGGAGAGGCTGCCCAGTGGTGTGGTTCCCCACTAATATTCCTCACCCCTTCCCCTTCTCTTCCCACCCTGTAGTCCTTCCAGGGCAGTCAGGGGCGTGCCTACCTCTTCAACTCTGTGTGAGTATTCTATTGATCTCTCTGACCTCTGCTACGACCTGTGACCCCTGGCACCATGCTGAGGCTCCCCCAGAGCTCCCTGACTGAGGCAGGAAGCTATGATGGCCAGTCAGTGGGGAGAGGCTTATTATGATGGTGGGCCCCTCCCTGGAACTGCCCCATGTCTCCACAGGGTGAACGTGGGCTGCGGGCCAGCCGAGGAGCGGGTGCTGTTAACAGGCCTCCATGCTGTCGCTGACATCCACTGTGAGAACTGCAAGACCACTTTGGGCTGGAAATATGTGAGTCAGTGACCTCTGTCCCCAGGCTCCTCCTTTGCCAGGGCCTACCATCACCTCTTTGTCACTATCAGTCATCAAAAAGTGCATGGGTGTCGCTCACACAAGCCAAACCACCAGCCTTTTGATCCCCTGCCGTGTTCTCTGTCCTCTACATAGGCTTGTAGGAAGGTCCCCCTAACGGCCTCTGTTCCCTCCCAGGCCCATTTTAAAGAGGAGGATCTAATCAGCCCCCAAATCCATCAGAGTTGCTGTCTGTGGAATGCTTATGCGCCATGTCCTTGGCATATATTGCCTCATCCAGTCATTAGAGCAACCCCGTAGGCAGAGTTTATTATTCCCCGTTCTGCAAAAGAACCAGAGGCCCAGAGATGTTAGGTTAACTGGCCTGGAACTGGTAAGTCACTCAATAGGGAACAGAATCTTCGTTTGTTTTGTTTTAGTTTCCCAAACATGTGACTTCCTGGATTGTCATTCAAAAGACCAGAGAGGCTGCCGTGACCCCGCGGATAGCCGGCGCAGGGGTCCGTGGGTGTCTGTTTCTGCTGTCCTCACTGCCTCTGCTGCCGCCCTGGGTCTGGGTTCATGACCCTGTTCCTCATTTCCATATCTAGCAATTGAGGAGAAAGCCATCGCCTGGCACCCAAGATTGTTCCCGGGATCTGATTAGCTGCAGCAAAGGAAGATGGTGTGTGGAAACACGCAGAAAGCACGATTACTCGAGCCTCTGAGAGGTGTAAGCTCCAGGCCGAGATAGACATACAGCCCTCACCTGAGTTCCCCTCCCCTCCCCTCCCCACTCCCCACTCCCACCCCACCCCCGCCCAGCCCCTGCCACACACTTGCTGTATGCACCTGGGCACGAGCCGGGCCTCTCTGGGCCCCTGTGAAGTCAAGAGGTGCCCTAGTCTGGAGATCACAAACTCTAGTGCTTGCAGGGTCCAGCAGAAACCATCGATTTGTGATCATGGTAGCCTAGATCTCAGGAAGAGGGAATCTGTGACCGACGAGAAGGAGCAGATTGTGATTGTGATTGAACAGAACAGAACACACTCTGGTCCTGTACGCTCCGCACAATAGTTAGGTCTGAGCCCATTGTTGTAGCCACTGTGTCAGTCCATCTCCTTGATGGTCTTCCTCTGTCTCACTGACCTTCCCCCACTTTCCCAAACATGATGTCCTTTTCCAGGCAACTTTAACTCCACTGACCAAACAGAACACACAGCACAAGCTGAAACTGCCCTACAGACCACCAGTTTGCACAGGAAATCCTTTGAGAACTTCACAGCCCTTCTCTTGAAGCCAACATTCGTCGTACTAAAAATTGCCCGGGATGGCATGAGTTCTGGGCCCGTGGTGAGAAACCGGGCCCTGCCATCTACCAGCTGTGTGAGCAGGAGGCCTGGCATTGGCTTGGCTTCTCTGGGCAGCAGTTTCCTGACCTGTCAAATGGGGGCCAATCATGCACCCCCTTCTAATCCCTGCTCTTGCTCCAAGGATGACTGGTGCCCTCCTCTCCCTTCAGGAACAGGCCTTCGAGAGCAGCCAGAAGTACAAAGAGGGGAAGTACATCATTGAACTCAACCACATGATTAAGGACAACGGCTGGGACTGACTGACCCCTGCTTCGGACGCATGTGGCTCCAGCCCGGCCTGGCCGCCGGCCTTGCACACCTGCCCCTCAGAGCCCAGGCAGAGGAAGGACCCGGCTCCTGTACTTATATTTTATTGCATGCACTGTGACCTTGGGGGGGTGGGGGAAGGAACCGGAAGGGGGACTGCGCCCCCACCTCTCCTGCGATCTGGCTGGCTTGGATCTCGTTTTTAAATCCCTTTCTACCCCCGCTGCCCTATAGCTATCGTCTGAGTGCGTCTCCTTAGGCCCCACCCATCCCCTAAACGTTTCGCCCCCCCCACCCCTCATCCCACGCGTGTCAGCACCCCTCATTCTGTAGCCTTTGTACATAATAAAACAATGAAGTGGAGACCGCCCCGGGCTCACGTGGAATTCGAACCGCGAGGCTCAGAGGCCTATCCCCCAAAGCTCTGCTGCTAACCCAGCCCCTGCGCTGCAGGTGTGGGGCAGACACGGCCGTCCACGCTGGGGGCCTGCGCTGCTCCTGGGGCCTGCTGCCCCCAGTCACCTTCGCTGGGACCCAGGTTGGGTGACACGGCCGGTGGACTTCTGTCGCCCACGCTGGCCCCCAGGGCCCCCCAGACGCGGGCTATCTCCGTCGCTGCCGTCTCAACTCCAGCGTTTTGACGCCGCCTAGGGAGGAGAACTCCTCCGCTAAGCAGCCCCGCCACCCGTTTCGCCGTCCGGCTTCCCTCCGACTACAACTTCCAGCGACCCCAACGCGCGGTGTCCGCTTCCTTCGTGCGGCGCGTGGGCGCTGGGCCCGCTGGGAAATGTAGTTCCGCGGTTGCCCCTGCCCCGGACCCTCTCCCGTCAGAGGCTTAGCTAGCTGTCTGCACCTCTAAACTTCCCAGTCCCCGGTTGCGGTATGGAGCCCAGAGGGCGGGGGGTGGCCCCAGGCTTCGGGCCTCGCCTGTGACTGCTTGAGGACCCCAGTGCCCTGTGATAAGCTCGGGCCGCGCCCCCCACCGTCCTGCACTTTCCCAGGTCAGGACTGCTTTTTTCCAAGCCCCATTCCTCTGAGTGATGGGGGTGTCACCTGCCCGAGGTTCCTCCCCAGGGTCCAGGCACCAGCCTCGGTAGTTTATTCCTAACCTACGCTCGCCGCCCCCCACCCCCCAACCAGCCCCCCGTGGGAAAGGGGACCAGCTGGCCGGAAGCACCAAACTGCATCCCCTGTCCCAGCCCCGGGGATCAATCAGGCCGAGGAGTTAATTATGTAATGAGGGCGCAGGGGGTCGGGGCTAATGAAGGCGCCAAGGGGAGGGATGGGGAGGAGGGGAGTTACCCAGGTATCCGGCCCCCTCTTGGACCCCTTCGAGGCCCTAAGGGTCTCCACCCCAGCCTAACTCCAGGGCCCCACAGAGGGGAGGGGCTGTGATCTTGGGTCTGGAAGGGGCTGAGCGGTGAGCTATAAAGGGGGCATCTCCCAGCACTGGGTGGACTTTAGGCAGTGTGGACTGAGGCCAGACTAGACTTCTTCTTCCATGTACCACCCACGGGAGTTGTACCCCTCCCTGGGGACCAGCTACCGCCTGGGCCTCCCGCAGCCTGGGGCTGACTCCAGCGTCCCGCCTGCCTTGGCCGAAGGCTACCGTTACCCTGGTGAGCATGGCGCCCAGCTCCTGGGGAAGGACCTGGGCACATACACGTAGCCCTTGGCTGGTTCCTCATCCTCTCCTCTTCTCCAGATCTGGACACTCCCAAACTGGACTGCTTCCTCTCTGGACTTGAGGCTGCACCCCGCACCCTGGCCGCACCCCCGCCTCTGCCCCCTCACCCCCCAGTCCTGGGCACTGACCTGGCCACCCCAGCCCCAGAGGCCCTTCACTCCCTCCCTGGGGTCAGCCTGAGCCTGGAGAACCGGGACCTGTGGAAGGAGTTCAACTCCGTGGGGACCGAGATGATCATCACCAAAGCCGGGAGGTGAGGGGCTGGCTGAGGGTCAGAGGACCCACTGTGCCCCCGTGGGCGTTTTCGGGGGGGAAGCTGAGTCACAGGTGACGGGACGGGACTAGGTTTGTGGGGTGGAATCTGATTGTGGCCTGGGGGAGGGTTTACTCAGTGTCAAGAGACAAGAGCCAGTCTGTGGAGTTTGCGGCTGTGTTTAAGGAATGATCTGTGGCCAGGGTCAGAGGTCAGTCTGGGCCAGGGTCAGGAAGTCTGGCTGGGTCAGTCTGTGTGGCTGGAGGCAGGGGTCAGACTCTGGGGTCAAGGGCCCACCAGGGCTCGAGAGCAGAGAACTGTGCCCGGGGTCCGGGGTCCAGGATCGGGCTGAAGCACGGTAGGGTCAGTGGGTGGCTTCTATCAGCCTGTCCTTCAGGAACATAAGGTCTGTCTCTGAAGAGGATTTGCTCAGCAGCTGCAGAGTCTGGGGCTGGAGACCAGGAGGTTCCTGGCAAGATTTCAGGGGGGAAAATTGGTCACCAGAGTTCTGTAATAGGCGTTTGAGGGGCTGGCAGTCAGGGGTCCTGGCTGAACTTGCTGAATCACCTCCTCTTTCTGTCTTCTGTTCCCATCTGAAAAGGGGACCAGACATCTTTTTGGCTCTTAGCTGCTGCCCTCTGAACTCTGCCTCTACCTCCTTCCAAGCTTCTCTGACAATTGGGGTGGGGGTTGGGGGGCTGTTCCTCCACCCTCTCTGCAGGTGCTGGGCCCACCCTGGCCAGTGGGGAGCTCCAGGCCTCTCTCACCCCCTCCTCTGCTCAGGCGCATGTTCCCGGCTTGCCGAGTGTCAGTCCTGGGACTGGACCCTGAGGCCCGCTACCTGTTCCTTCTGGATGTAGTCCCAGTAGACGGGGCCCGCTACCGCTGGCAGGGCCGGCGCTGGGAGCCCAGTGGCAAGGCAGAACCCCGTCTGCCAGACCGCGTCTACATTCACCCCGACTCGCCCGCCACTGGCGCCCACTGGATGCGGCAGCCTGTGTCGTTCCACCGAGTCAAACTCACCAATAGCACCCTGGACCCCCACGGCCATGTGAGGCCCAGGCCGGGACCCCAAGAAAGGGAGGGGCTGGGGGGGGGTGATTGATGGCAGCCGAGACCAGTGTTCCTTCCCTTTCAGCTGATCCTGCACTCAATGCACAAGTACCAGCCCCGTGTACACCTGGTGCGAGCCACCCAGCTGTGCAGCCAACACTGGGGGGGCGTCGCCTCCTTCCGCTTCCCAGAGACCACATTCATCTCTGTGACAGCTTACCAGAACCCTCGGGTGAGTGGCCCTCCTCCAGGGGTGGTCGCAGCCGGCCCAGGCTGCAGGCGCTTTGACACCCACCCCCCCCAACCGTGTGCCCCTAGATCACACAACTGAAGATCGCAGCTAACCCCTTCGCCAAGGGTTTCCGGGAGAATGGCAGGAACTGTAAGAGGTAGGCATCCTTCTTTCATCGGTTCCACAGATGTGGACTCGTGGCCCGCTCTGGGCTGACGCTGTGCTGGAAGCCAGCACAGGCTGTTAAGTCAGGACCCCTAGGACATCTGCCAAGTGAAGCAGCCTGGTGGCGCTGTTGGGGGAGCACTGAGCAAGGGTTGGGCGGCTAGTCTAGTCGCCATCTGTTGGTTCAAACCCACTCATGGCTGCCTGGGGGAAAGCTGGGGCTCTCTGCTCCCATGAAGTTGAAGCTACTCAATGGCAGTGGGTGTGGTTGCTTTGGTTAAGAGGAGTTTGGTGGAAGAGTGGGGTCAGCACTGGGTGGCTAATCACGAGGTCGGCAGTTCAAACCTAACAGCCGAAAGTGCCGGAGAGAGGGGAGGCTGTCTGTTCCTCCTATGAAGACTGATAGTCTTGGAAGCCCTTGGGAGCCACTGTCCTATGTCCTCTAAGGTCAGCGTGAGTCCGCAGGCAGAGACTTGGTGGCAGTGCATTTGGGAATGTGCCTAAACCCAACCCCAATTCGAATGCCATTGAGCCATTGCTGGCTCACAGCAGCCCTGTAGGACAGGGTAGAACTGAACCATGAGTTTCTGAGACTGTCACTCTTCACGGGAGCAGTTTCGAACTGTCTGCCTTGAGGATCACAGCCCAACACCTAACCACTATGCCAGGCACTGGAAACACATGGATGAAAACAAACCAAAGTCCCTGTCCTCCTGAACCCGATCATTCTAGTGGGCAGAGCAGACAGCAAATGAGAAATCAATACTACATGATCAGGGGTACATTCCAAAGAGAAAAGATGCAAGGAAGGGAGATAAGAAGTCCCTATCAAGAACATTTGATAAAGATCTGAAGGAAGTGAGGGAATCCAGGGCTTTTTGGGGAGAAAGCATGCCAGACAGTGGAAACAGCACATGCAAAGGCCCTGGGGTGGGAGCCTTGCCTGCAATGTGGCTGGAGAGAGGGGCTAGAGAGCCAGTCAATTGGACAGTAAAGGTCTTAATAAGGCTGTGGTTCTGCTTGGCATGTAGTCCCCCTCAGAGCTGGCTCCTGCTCTCAAAGCACATTGAGTTTGTCAGGAGATACGGTCATCCTCAAAGCATCATTCACTTGACTACGTGTAAACTTGTATCTGTGGCGGACAGTCATCAGGGAGGCTGTGTGGTGCCCCAGAGATCAGGCAGGATACGAAGAAGAGTTAAGCAGGTGACAGAAGCCAGAAGATTCCAGAGAGAGGCCCTGTACAGGCTGGCAAGTTAAGAGGGTCTGGAAGCAGCTAGTGTAGATGGAGCAGGGGGCAGTTAGGTGGGAGCGGCTGGGGTCACACCAGCCAGGGGCTTCTCACTTGGGAAGGAGTCTCAGTGGATTCTAAAAGCAGCTCAAAACCAATGAAGCTTCCAGCCAGGGGATTCACCCAGCTCTGCCACCTTCTGGGCATCTCCCCAGCGTCCAGCTCCTTCATCTGGAAAGTGGGCTTAATGGCACCTCCCTGATGAGGTCCCTGAGAGGAGTGGGTGAAACACCCGCCCCCAATACATGCTATTATTGCCACCACTGCCACCATCATCACCATCATCGTCGTTGGCACTTCCCCAGGGAGCGAGATGCCCGCGTGAAAAGGAAACTCCGGGGCCCAGAGCCAGTCGCCACAAAGGCCTATGGGAGCGGAGGTGAGTGGGGTTACAATGCCGCCGGCGCCTGGCCTGCAGGCAGTGCAGGCTCCCTGACGCCCACCCTGCTCCTTCTGTTTCCCCAGAGGCCTCCAGTGGTCCCTGCGACTCCACACTGGGTGGGGATGTCCGTGAGTCAGACCCGGAGCAGGCTCCAGCTCCCCGAGAAGCTGCCCTGGCCCCTGCCCCGCACTGTGGTGGCCCCAGTGCCGAGGCCTACCTCCTGCACCCTGCCGCTTTCCACGGGGCCCCTGGCCACCTTCCAACCAGGTGAGACAGGGCAGGTACAGGGCTGGGGGTGGGGGGGCAGGTCCATCACCCTATTCTAATAGCTCTCTCCAATCCAGGACCCCCAACTTCGCTGAGACTCCAGACTCTGGGCGGCCAGCCCCCTACTCCGCTGGCTTTTTAGAGCTGCAGCCTGGGCCAGGGGGCGCAGGGTACTCTGTGGCTCCACCCATGGCACCCTTTGCCCCCCCTTTTCTCCAGGGGGGCCCTTTCCCTATATCCTTCCCAGGGCCTGGGGGTTACCTGGATGTGGGTGCTAAACCCATGTATTGAGCACCTACTGACACCCCCCCACCCCCTAGTTGGCTTCATCCCAAACGGCCAGTTCCCCTGCCCCCAGCTTGGTAGCTCCCTCCCCCATGCCAAATGGCTGTCTTGGGCCTGTGCCCCCCCCCCCCTCACACTTTGATTTTGCTCCCACCCCCTCTGGCTTCAAAGCCCAGGCAGGGATGCAGGGAGCACAGCTGGGGCCGGCTTCCCCTTCCCAGCTCTCACCTGGGTGTGAATGGAGGTGGCTCGGTCTGGCCAAATGGGGCCTGGGGCCCTCACACCCACCTCCTGGGCCTCATCCTTGGGCTTAGGAGGGTTCTACCCACAAGCCACAGCTCATCTGTTCTCAGGACCAGAGTATTTTTGTTAATAAAACTTGAAAGGCACCAGTGCTCTGGAAATGGGCTAATAAATAGTGTTTGCCACTGGGTGGGGCTTGGTGCGCGATGGTTTTGTGGGGAGACCCAAGCCCCATTCTCGACTCTGTTGTGCCCCAGCCAATCCACTGGCCCTGGGCCTCCATTTACTCTTCAGGAAAACTGGGGAATCTGAATCTCAGTTTGGGAATGGAGTCCGACTGCTTAAAGACTTACACCCTGCCCTCCACCCCAGCTAAGGGTTGCTGGCCTGGGGCAAGCTGATTTACGTGGGCCCAGAAGGGCTAGGGCTTTGGGCCAGTCAGGGTCCTAATGCCCCACCCCTGCTGATACCTAGTCAAGCCTGTCACAGACCAGAAGAGTATTTTTCTTCTTTTATTAGAATTTTTTTCCAGTTTTTTTCTCAAAATTTTTATCTAAAAACAAAACAAAAAGAAAAACAAAAGGCAATTATCGGAAACTTCATGGTTAAAATTGGGAGAAGGAAGAGGGGCACGGAGCCGAGCCTCCGACCTCTCCTGAAAAGTCCTCGCCCTCACAGTGCCCTCCCGGTGGGGAGGGGAGAGCCTGGACGCCCCCATGCCCACCTCTGTCTGGGGGAGAGGGCAAAGTCACAGTGGCCCGAGGGCCAGAGGAATTGGAGGGGGCAGGGGGCCGATGGAGTCACAGGAAGTAGTCCGCCACGGGCTTCTTGGAGGGGATGCCCCGAGTCTCCTGGGGAGCAGCCTCAAAAATGATGAAGTCTTTCTGGAGATGTTCGTCCAGCTCCAAGATGGCGGCCACGTTCCCGCAGCTGGAGGCAGGAGGTGGAGCAGTATTTAAGGAGTGGGCCTGCCGAGCCCACCCCCAGAGCACCAGCCTGACCCCCGGACCCAGCCAGCTCACCGGTAGCAGTAGTTGGGGGCTGACCATACTGTCAGCACGGTCTCGTTGAAGTGCCACTTGTAACCTTCCATCACTAGCTGGTGGGCTCGGCAGATCATGTCGATGTCGTTGGCGGCGTTGAACTGGGCCACAACGTCGCTACCAAACAGGTAGCCAGCGCCACGGGGGCTCACACCCCAGCCGGTTGTGTCTGCGCAGATGGACATTGGAATGGGGGCGGGCTGCCTCAGGGGTTCTCTGGTGGCCCCTCTTAGGTGCTCATCCTACACCTCTGCAGGCCTGTGGGGCAAGGGCATGGGGCCTGGACCCCCTTCCGAGTCAGGCCTGCCGCATCATCTACTGGGAAGGCAGGTGCTTGGGAAGCACTCCCTGCTCAGGCCGAGAGACCTGCCTTGAACCCCTGGCTCTGCTCCCGACCAGCTGGGGAACCCCACACAATCACGAGTCCTCAGAGGCTCTCATCTGGAAGTCTGAGCTCTGGGGACGAGGCAGACGGACTGGGGCCCCTTCACATTCAAGGAGTCAAGGGCTTTGTCTCACACACCCTCCTGAGCCATTAAGCACACTCTGACCCAGCCTGAGCACCCGGCACCCAGCCCTGCTCCGCCTCAAACTCTCCCCACCCAATGGGTGGCCTCCCCAGGGCTCCTCAGTCTGTTACACAGACTTTAGTAAAGAGTGACCCTTCTGCCTGCCCTCACCTTCAGGATCTGACCACAGCAGGTCACACATGGGCCCGTCATGAGGCACCTCTTGCTTCCGGTCAATTGTCCGGATCTGGTCCAGGGTCTGGATGGAGGGGGAGAGGCCCCCATGCACACAAAAGATCTGCAAGAAGGGAGGGGGTGAGCGAGGGGAGAAACTAAGCCCCAGGGTCTCCGCCATCCACCACCCCACCCCACGGGGCCCCAGCCCACCTTGCCATCGATGATGGCCGACAGGCTGAGGTAGTCGAAGATCTCGGTGCAGTAGCGCCACACAGTCACCGAGCCATACTTGCGCAGGCACTCGTCATAGAAGCCGTAAACCTGGGTGATCTGGCGGCTCTCGTGGTTGCCCCGGATCAGGGTGATGCGGTCAGGATAGCGAACCTGGGGACAGCCACCAAGCCAGGGCAGGATGCAGTACCCTGTTCACCACCCCAAGGTTCCTGCTCCATATCACCTCCTGGCTGCCACCTGCACCACTTCCCCCATCACACCATAAATCAGCCGACTGCCCGAATCCATGGTTATCTGCGTCCCCGGGTGACAGCCCTCCTCCTTCAGAGGGTGCAAGCAGACTCTGCCCCGCCACATGCCACCTTGCAGGGTCTTTCAACTGGCAGACACCAACCGAAGTCCCTAGCAAGACATTCAGGGCTGGCACCTGGCCCCTCCCTCACCACCCCAGATCCCAACAGAGGCACATCGGGTCCTGTTATCCACCCAGCTGTGAGTGATGGCTCACTCCTGGGAACAATTTGGACCCCAATGCTCTCCCCTAAAGTGTCATCCTGCTAATCCCATCCTCCATGGGCCCAAGGGGATGCCCCCACATCATGGGAGCCTGCTCTGGCCAGTCCCCATCCACCAGCCTGCTCTTGCTGGACTGCACGGCTTAAGATCTGGGGTCCAGAAGCCCAGGGCTTTTACCTTGAGTGCCAGCAGCAGGAGGAACGTTTCAACGCTGTAGAAGCCCCGATCCACAAAGTCCCCCATGAAGAGGTAGTTGGTCTCAGGGACATCGCCGCCCACCTTGGGGGGGGGGGAGAAAGAGGAGGTTCCACTTGGTCCAAAGTCCATTTTCCTGGCAGAGGGGTCCTTCCAGGCACCACCGCCACCGGCCTGGTCAGTTCACACTCATATTTTCCTTGATACTCACTCTGAAAAGCTCCTTGAGGTCATAAAACTGTCCGTGGATATCGCCACATACCTGCGAAGTGGGAAGAGGTCAGAACTCATACCCAGAGGCTCAGAGGTTTTGTTTCCAAGGGCTGTTCTTCAAAGTGCCCCCCCCTTCAGAGTCCCATTGGTGTTATGGATTTAATTGTGCGCCCCTACCCCAAATATGAACTGTGAACCCTAAAGCCCAGGCCTGTCTGGGAGTTGACCCTCTGGAGTGTGAGGGAGGGAGGCTGTGTTCGTGTAGGGTGTCTCCGCTGTTTGAGATTTAAAAGAGCAGCTTAAGCGAGGATTAAGGACAGACGCAGAGAGGGGAGGAGAGATGCCACAGCACTGAAGATCCCCAAGGAACCAAGAAACAGAAGCAGAGAAAAGCCAGGGACCTTCTTCCAGAGCCTGGGGTTGGAGCTTGCCCTGGACCAGAGGTCAGCAAAGTGCAGCCCTTTCGGTAGGTGCATGTGGCTCTGAAGTAAACTGAAAAAATGTTTCGCGTGTTATCCAGATAATTATGATCTCATGTGTTCGTAAAAATACATGTGTGGCTCTTGAATATTGTTTAGCCTGTTGTGAGGGACGGGACTGGCTCTTGCGTCTCAAAAGTCTGCAACCCGTCCTAGAGCCATGCTCTGCATTTGGACTTTTAAACTGTGAGGAAGGCGATCCGGGTGTGAAAGCGGACCACGTGTGGCGTGTCCGAGAAGTAGGACACTCGCCTATGCTTCCCTCCTCAGGGACAAACCCACCGCCCTCCCGCATGGACCTGGTCTAGGGCCTCTGGGTCTGCAGGTCAGAGCAAGAGCCTGGTCTCTCCAGCGACACTTGCCCCCTTCTCCTCCCGCCTCCCTCAAGGTCCCCAACATAAAGTCATTAACACGGGGCTACAGAAACACGTCAAACAGAACTCAGCAAGTTAGAAGTCCTTTGGTTCTGGCCCAAAGGGTCCCCTAATAAACCAAAAGCCCTCTCAGAACATCTGTTTCTTAAGAATAGAAGTGGGGGGAGGTGGGGAGGGAGGGGTAAAAATGAGGAGCTGATGCCAGGGACTTAGGTGGAGAGCAAATGTTTTGAGAATGATGAGGGCAATGAATGTACAAATGTGCTTTACACAATTGATGTGTTTACGGATTGTGATAAGAGCTGTATGAGCCCCTAATAAAACGATTAAAAAAAATGTCGAAAACAGAACTCTTTGGAAGACAGCTGGTGTTTCGGGGTCCCCGGAAAGGAGAGGTGGCCCTAGGGAGCACGCTAGGCTAGGGGGCATGTCCAAGTGCCCCTGCAGGGACTGGGTACTCACGGTGACTGGCGAGTCCACCCTCTGCACGTTGCTCTCCTCCACCAAGATCTCTCTGGGGACAGGAGAAGACCAGGGTCACCTCGGCCGGGCCTGCCCGCCCCACTCCTGACCTTGTTGGTGCAGGGAGGAAGGGAGGTCAGGGTGGTCCATGGCCCCAGGGCCAGCTGACCTGGCACCCACGGCACTACCTCCCATGGCGCCCTCAACCAAAAGGCTCAAGTCCAGGCCCCTGCTCCAGTGCACACCCCCCTTCCAGATGGCCTGGGACACCCTCTGCCAGCGTCCGCTCCCATCCGTACACCCAGCACCCATGAGTCCCTTCTCCTCACCTCTCCTCTGCTCAAGATGGTCCCTCAGGCTGGACTGACACTGAGAGCCAGCCCTTCTGGGGCACTTACAGCCCTGCCCCATGCATCATGGGCCTGGCCCCCTCTGGGTTGTGGACCATCAGACTTTTCCAGGAGCTACCTAAAAGCTTATTTCTCCTCGCAGCAGTCCACCTTGACTTTAGTGAGCACCGCAAAGCTACCTGGGCAGTGGCCAACATCCACCTGAAGGTCAAGCCCATTTCCAGATCCCATCTGGAAAGCAGCAGCCTGGAACAATCCCGCTGGAACCCTGCCTGACACGGATGACCCTCGCCAGAAGAGCTACTCTCCGAAGCATGCACAGCTAGAAGGTTCTCACAACCGTAAGCCTCTCCAGGAAGCTGCAGCAGTACAGCTGGGGTGGGAATCCGGGCCTTTTATGGCATTCTCCTGAGGGTGAGGGGCCCGAGTGTTGGCCCAGCCCCCAGCTCCCTATGGTGAGGACCCAGGGAACTAGAGGCCTGACTTCCGCCCTGCGGGGTGCTCTGCAAGACAGAGGCAGAACAAGGAGAAGTGCCCAGGTCTCTTGACGGCACTCAGAGAAGCTGTGACAGTAACTGCACCAAGGGTGGAACGTCCTTCCTGGTCACTGCTTACAGCGAGGGGCCTTCCTGATGAGCTTTTCACGCTCATCCGACAGGTCAAGGAAGCAAGGCTGAGACCAGAGCAGGAGAATCCCAGGGGCAAAGCCAGAGTCGCCCAACTGGGACCCAGGAAGCCTAAGTTCCCAAGAATTCCTGACCAGCACTCCCTGGTCCCCAGCCTGAAACCCAGTGATAGCATGCTCTCTGAAAAACCTGTCCTCGTGCCCGTGGGGCCTCTGTAGACGAGGCCCACCTCAGTCACTTGCAGTACACCCACCTCGTGACTCCCACTGTGCCCGGCCGTGGTCCTGCAGAATGACCTGAGACCCAGAGGGACGGGACTTGAGCACGGCCCACTGCTCTCAGTGGGATTCCTGCTGAGGCAGGCCCAATTCCAAAGCTGCTGCCCTTGTAACATGTGCATTTTCTACAGGGACCCGTGCAGACCTGCCGTACGTGCATAGGTGGTCCAGCGCCCACTACCACCCGTCCCATCCAGGTGCTAGGACTGGTCCTCCTTCAGACCAGGCTGATGACAACGGTGGCCAACTCAGGGCTGGGTCCAGTCTCCTAGCTCTACTTCTGTTCCCAGGGGGCCAACCCTGCCAGCCGGCGGGGCCCTAGCTTCTCATGGCCCATTTCAAGAACGAAACGCCGCCACCTGGCATTCAAGGTGCGGGAGCACCAAGCCCTGGATCTAACCCAGCCTCCTCTCGCCCTGACTCGAAGGTCTGGGGGAAACAGCTTCTTGGTCCCTCCAGGCGGCTACATGGAGCGACAGAGCACGAACACCCACCTTGCTCCACGACTCTGCATAGCCACACCTGGCCATCACCTCCCCAGCCCAGGTTAAAAAGACCATTTTCAGGCAGCAATTGGATTAAGTTCCTAAAAACGCTGGCCCGGTCAGCTGGACTTCCTCCAAGTGTGGAAACATGGAGGAGTCACCGGCAGTTAGTGAAAAATGAGAGGCCTGGTCTTCACCATCCTCAGGCAGGCCCCTTTCTGGCTGCAGAGAACCCAGCTGTCTGGGGGGGGAGGGTGTGTGTGATGGAGGCAGGGCCAACCACTGAGCCCAACAGCGATGTTCAGAGACCAGCCATTCCTCACTGGGTGACCTCAGGTCAGGTCACGTGGCTTCTACGGGTTAAGGCTTTCTGGTTCGTTAGAAAGAGCTAGTCATTCCAACCTCCTGGGTTGCTGCGGGGGGTGAAGGGGACTTACGCTCCTACCAGTGCAGAATCAGGCTATTATTGTTCCCGTAAAGGAGTCCCAGGGCCCAGTGGTTAGCTATCCGGCTACCAACCAGATGCTTGGTGCTTTGAGCAGACCGGCCGTCTGAGGGAGAGAGGTGGCAGTCTCCTTTCCCCAAGACTTACAGCCTTGGGAGCCTTATGGGGCAGTTCTAGTGTCTGCTACGGCCACGAGTCAGAACCAAGGGCCAAGTGGTTTGGCTGATTGAGAAACAGAGCAATTCGGCTGGCTTCCCCCACCGTGCTCCAGCTTGATGGACATCACAGACCACAGTTCCCCTGAGGGGCCAGGCCATTAGTATCCTGATGGTGCCTGCTGCCAGGATTTTCACTGACTCTCCACCTGCTTAGAATGCCCGTGTTCTCTGGTTTTGTCTTGTCAGTTATCCAAAGTATCCGCATCTCTCCCTTGATGACTTCAGCTGATGTCACCGTTGCCCTCGTCCAACATAGAAGGCACACCTGGCGCTTCCTGAACACTGCAACGAACAGTACCTCCACCTTGCTTGGGGCGCCAACTCACTGACTCTTCAAAGTCATCTAAGGAAGCAGGGCTCCTCCCATGTTTAAGGAGCCAGGTGGTCCTGTGGGTCAGCGACACTGCTAGCCTGCTAGGTTGGTGCCTCCCACAAAGATTCACCTGGGGAATCCTACGTAGGATCGCTATGAATTGGAATCCACTTGATGGCAGTGGGTGTGTTTTTTGTTTTGTTCTTTTCCCAGTTTGTCATTCCACTTCAAGGAGTCGTGTTGGGCTGTTAACTGCAAGGTCAGCAATTCGAACCCACCAGCTGCTTTGAGGGAGAAAGAGGAGGCTGTCAGCTCTAGAAAGGCTCACAGTTTTGGGAAACTTATGATCCGACAGGGTGGCTATTCATCAGAAGTGGTTTTGTTCCACAACAGATCCCCAGAAAGCTAAAAAAAAAAAAAAATCACAAAACGCAGGCAATGCTTGGCAGAGCTCAGGTGCAAATCTAGAGCAACCACATTCTGAAACCTGGGCTCTTTGTAAGGACATCATCCTACTTCCCACTGGGTGTTGAGTTAGGTCTCCCTCTCTCAAAAAAAGTAATAAAAAAAACCAAGCAAGCAAAAACTCCAATGCCACTGAGTCAATTCTGACCATAGACACCCTATAGGGCAGAGTAGAACTGCCCCCCTAAGTTTTCAAGACTGTAACTCTTTTTTTTTTTTTAATGTTTGGGTGAGAGACTGTAACTCTTTATGCAAGTTTCAGAAAGCCTCATCTTTCTCCAAAGGAAGAGCGGCTGGTTTCTAACGACTGACCTTGCGATTAACACCCCAATACCTAAGCACTGGGCAGCCAGGGCTCCCCGGGTCTCCCCTCTCGGCCGGGCTTAATTCGCTCCATCTCGTAGATTATCACACCAAACACGAGTGAGTCTTCACCTACTTGCCGCCGGAGACCGGGACGGAGAGCGGGTGGCAGACGCCACGCCTGTCCCTGACTGCCGACTTTTGACAGGAGATGCCTCGCCTGCGAAGCAGGTCTCACCTCCCTTTCAAGACGGTTGTTGAGAGGGAATCGCAGCTGCCGGCCCCGCCACTTTTGACTTTACGAAACCGTCCCCGGTCCAGCTCCTCTGGAGGCAGATGGACTGTGTCGCTTCCTCCACTACCAAAACGGCATCATCATCGGAAACTTCTTATGGGTCTCCGCCAACAGGCTGGTGGCTCCAGGAGGGCCCAAGGAGGAGAGGGGGGGGTCTACCTCATCTCCCACTCTGGG